TACCCAGAGCGACACTACATTTATCGACCAAGCAGTGAGTGATGGTCTCGAGGCAGACAAGCATCCAGTTAAGCTAAAGTTGACCACCATGAGTGGAAGGGATACCGTTATCACAAGCGAGTCTGTTTCAGGACTACGTGTAAGAGGATACAGCTCTGCCATTCAAGTCAATCTGCCGATGGCCTACACAACGGACTGTATACCGGTGAACCGTGCTCACATTCCTACTTGTGAGTCAGCTAAACAATGGAGTCATCTCACAGAAATAGTTGAAGAAATCCAACCACTGAAAGACTGTGAAGTGGGACTCCTGATTGGCTACGACTGCTCTAGAGCCATGGCCCCAAGGCAAGTCATTCTAGGAGGAGATGAAGAACCCTATGCTATACGGACAGACTTAGGATGGAGCATTTTCGGACTGTCTTCACATGGTTATAATTCACTGAGCAGAAGTAGTTTCTGTCATAGAATCGCTGTTAAAGAGCTACCTCCTGCAACTCCTGTCGATGTGATCCGCAAATTGGAATCCGACTTTAATGAAGGAAGCGAAGATACCAAAACAGTCTCACAAGATGACATCACCTTTCTCAACAAAATAAATGAAGGCATACAGAAAAACATACATGGTCATTACGAAATGCCTCTGCCGTTAAAAATCAGACTTAACCTGCCTGACAACAGAGTTGCATGCATTTTAAGGCGTATCAGAAAAAACAGGTCGGACAGTCTCACAACTGTAATTGAACGAGAAGATGCAGAACATTGCAAAATCAAAGACTTGCAGGAAAATACTTATCAAGAGGAGTTGAAAATTTTGAACAAAGGGATTCGGCTACCATCTAACAATCATTTATACTCACTTGATGCATTCCTTGATCAAGACGGTATCCTCAGGGTGGGAGGAAGGCTGAGCAACTCCTCTCTTCCCAGCTCCATCAAGCACCCTGCGATCATCCCCAAGAATCATCCCATCACAAAGATGTTGATCGCTCACCATCATGAAAGAATGGAACACCAAGGTAAAGGCCTCACCATTAATGATATTAGGTCCAACGGCTACTGGATCCCAGGAAAGAAACGGGTTGTAGCATCCTACATTCGCCACTGTGTCACCTTTAGACGGCACCGGAAGCCAACTGAAGAGCAAAGGATGGCTGATTTACCCCCTGAATGTGTGGAACCATCGCCCCCCTTTTCCTTTTGCGAAATGGATTGCTTTGGCCCTTTCGTTACCAAGCAAGGAAGAAAGGACAGCAAGAGGTCTGACCAAGGGAGCAATTTTGCCGGAGCCAAAAACGAACTCAAGGAAGCTCTAAAGGAAGTTGGCACAGACCGGCTGGCTGCATTTCTTGCCGAGAGACAATGTGACTTTGTCATGAATGCACCTCATTCAAGTCATGTTGGAGGGGTGTGGGAGAGACAGATTAGGACTGTGAGAAGTGTCCTAGGGTCCACACTTGCCTTGTCTTCTGGTAGGCTAAACGATGCCTCATTGAGGGCCTTCTTCTATGAAGCCATGTCAATCGTCAACAGTCGCTCTCTGACTGTTGACAACCTCAGTGACCCCCATACTCTCGAGCCACTCACGCCCAATCATCTCCTGACTATGAAATCTACCAAGGCTTTACCTCCCCCAGGAAACTTTGTCAGGGAGGACATGTACAGTAGGAAAAAAGTGGTGGCACGTCCAAGAAGAAACATGCAAGTTGGAGATATCGTACTCGTCAAAGGAGATGATACACACAGAAATGAGTGGAGATTTTATGGAGAGTTTCAGGAACTACTACTGATAAAGACGTACTCGTAAGAAGAGTGAAGATCTGCCTTGGTGACAGAAACCTTGGTAAAAAGGGGGAGCATTTCCACAAGATGTCGGAAATTGAGCGCTCAGTCCAAAACCTTGTCCTGTTGTTAGAGACGAGCTGAATTTGCTCCTGTACTCCTTGGCTCACACTACTGCCTTCGATAGCATCTAATCTAAATTCGGTAGATCTGCTTATAAGGCTAGGTACTCCTAAGAAGGTTAATTTTACTTGAGAAATCATTCGTGCTTAATGTGCACAGTAAACTGTTTCATTGCTCACTCATGATTGGTGGGAGTGTAAGTAACTGTGGAAAGGCTCTGTAAATAAGTGATTGTTCATGCATGGTTTTAATTTGATTTTATAGTTTTATACTGCATGCTTTTATTTTGGCAGACCAGCAGAGGAAATAAGGGAGAGCAGAGAAGGTCAATTGATTTTTGCTTGGAAACTGACAGCATGCTGTAAGACCAAACAGACTGGACTGGGCCTCTATACCCTACCTTTTGACAATTAAGCGCCTAGCTGGAATTGGGAACAAGGTATTGTTTGATGCATGTGTTTTATGTGGATTGATGTGATTTTATATGTATGTTGTTGTGTTTAAAGTGGTTAAATGCACAACAATGCTAACAGCCATCTCAACCATAGAGCCAGGTGAACACCCATGCTAATATTAGCCTTTGTGTGTTTCACATGCTTGGACTTAGTTTTAATATTGGTTTTAGCTTTTAACATGTTTATGCACATTTTTGATCTCACTCAACTTATTAATGTAGATTCAATAATATTGTAAATGGTTATATGGCATAAAGGTCATCTTTGTAAGAGCTCATTATAATTTCATTTATCTGTTTTATTTAGCTCTTACGGTGTTTCAAGAAAGAAAAGGTGGATTTATGTTCAAAATAAGGATGCCAGCTGAACATGAATAAAAATTCCTTGAGAAACATCAGTACGCTTCACCATTGTCTGGCTGGGTTCGCTACACAAAGTTGTACCAAACCTAGTTTGTTTCCTTGAGGGGGACTGCTCAAACAGCTCCTTTTGTTAACAGCCTGAAGTTCCTCTTTAAACATGACCTCTGCATTTACAATAGTGCATGCAACAGCTGTAAACCTGGGTTGTCCAACCCAGAATTGTAACCGGCAATAACCCACGACGACTATGCATTGACCCAAGAGGACACAGCGCAATGCGTGCCAGAGAAAAGTTCGCAATAAGCTGGCTGCTCAACGGTGTCATGATGGTTGCCCTCTAGCGGAGTGGGAGGGCTTGGCACCGTGTTTAACGACACACGTTCTGAGCTCTGTGTCTGCAAACAGTGGAGAGCCGCTGACACATCCTTATGTGACCAATTTGAAATGCAGTATTCAGACACGTCAAATTGACATTCATTTGAGTCCAAACTGCAGTCTTATTGAAACATTGTTCAAAACTGTTGAACCAGTGCAACTTTCACCCACCTGGGGCAGTAAACAAAGTCTCTCGGGACTGGGGGTTAGATCTAGCCTAGTGAACTAGACCAAATTCTTGCTTTGCAAAGTTTGGTCTAGGAATGCTCCACTGGAACCTCTGCAGCCCCAACAGCAATCTGGCTGGCCAATCACAGCTCTCTAGAGGGGTTTCAAACACATAAAGAGCTGTGATTGGTCCATAATGGTGGGCCAATCATAGTGCTCTATCTGCTTAGTGAACAAATCACAGAGCTTTATCCGCTTTGTGGGCCAATCAGGGCACTCTATATGCCTGGTGGGTGGGATGATGCAACAGAGTGAAACAAGAGTATGTCACATTCATTGTCCAGTGGAATGCGGAGATCATTTGAAAGACAACGGTAGAACCCGCCCCACAACCGAGAGCCGTCAATGGAGCGTTGCCAGACTAAATAATCCATTTATTTAGTCTGGCATTTAGTCTGGCTTGCCAGGCTAGGTTAGATCAGCAACCGAACATGGCCAATTCACCCGATGAAAACTGAGACTTGGAAGTCCGGCAGAGTCCAAGTCCTGAACAAATTCGGTCCTGAGATCAGGACAACTGAGTCTTCTATTTACGGTTCATAGAGCTATATTTTAGCCACAGCTGTCCTGAGACACACTGACAGAGGTGAGGCTGCCATACACAGGTACCACCGGTCCCTCCGACCACCACCAACAGGCAAGGAGGGTGAAGTCAGTGTCTTGCTCAAGGTCACGACTGGGTTTGACCTGGCATTCCACTGGTTACAGGGCAATCTCCTATCCCCTGAGCCATTGTCACCCCTTATAAAACCTTGTGTAGCTTTAAATAATCTGACCATTTAGGTGAAATCTGTGCTGTATTCCAGCATTTCCTCTTGCTTGTTTCACAACGCTGATGGAGGAGACTAAAATTCTTCATCTGTAGATCTTTGGGTAAATAATTCACTGGTGTAAAACAACCTTAGGATGAGCAGAAGGTTCATTGAATCATATGACTGCAGCAGCAGGATTGCCTCATCAACATTTTAAATCACAATCTTCCAATCTATAGTTATTGAGTCTTTTAAATGGAATGTGAAATGTCTTCTGGAAATTAGGCCACGTTATTTATTCAGGTGCATATGGACATGGTGGTGACTCAGTTGTACAGAAAGTCTCCTAAAGAACTCCTAAAGTTCACAAGGTCAGGGGCGTGTCCAGGGGGTGGCCTGGGGTAGCACATGCCACCCTTGGAATCTTAACTGGCCACCCCAGGTGCCACCACACTAATTTACCTTTAAATAGGCTTTTCATTGTCCACAAAAGGCTTGGGGGTAAAACAACAAAAAGCATAACCATTGGTGCCACCCATGCACAAAGTTGTGCCTCACCTGGGCCACCCCATTTTAAAAGATCTGGACACGCCACTGCACAAGGTGAAGCTAAAATCACAAGTGGCATTGGGATTCAGTGATAATTTTTTCTTGATTCAAAGTTGCGCATGTTTTATAATATATAGTAATAATAATAGTAATATACATCTACAGCTGTCACTGACCTGTCTGGTTGTCATTGACAAGGAGCACACCCTTAACTGGCAGATGCTTATTTATTATATCTTTATTAATGATCAAATACAAGTTACCCTTTCTCCTCCTCTATTTCCTTTAGGATAAAAAAAATATTTTAAATAGTTTCCACACAGTCCGTGATGGTTTTATCCATCCGTGAACGTCACGCGCAGCAGGCCACGCCCCCACGGATAACTGCGGCTCCCTGCCTTCAGACTGGAACCAGGACGCCGAGGAGAGGACTGAGCTGGCCGGATGGTTAAATCTAACCTACAGACGATTTTGAATAGTCACTGTTTTGTAAGAGAAAAAGAGAGAAATTTATCCGAGATGCCTGTTATTGAACAGTCCAGTAATACATCTGAAAGGTACGTCAGTGTCATCTCTTATGCTAGAATTTAAAACGCAAACCCACGGCCTGACGAACATGTCGCGGTCTAATTCCTGGAGTGATTTACAAACATTTTGTGTTTACATTTATTGTAATATTACAGAGGACATCTTTCTGTCAGCCGCTTTTTGTGTGTCACCAGTTTGTAAAATAATTTACCCAAATTAACGTTTAGCAGTATTATAAAAGATGGGATATTGTAGAGGATTTGAATCCAGCAAATAGACAAGTCAGTCAGCGTCAGTTGTGCCTGTTATCAAGCTAATGCTAACCCATAGGCCAAAATGTGAAGTAGTGGGTTAGCAACACGCTAAAATGCTAGCTAACCGCTATTATTTATCGATTTACATTTATGTAAAGAATTTTTTTTAGAATATTGTCACTCAAAGTTGAAATCTTTACGTCGTTTTTGTCTATTAGAGGGACCCAGTTATTTAGAACTATTTAAATCACCACGCAAATGTTAACTTGCAGTTAGCGCATGCTAATGTCACGGATGTTTTTGTTGTAAAAAATATTGATCGCTGTCATTATCAGAACTTCCCCTTACCCTGTTCATACTTTACGCTTAAATGAACGTGAGAATACAGTAAATTCCCATTATGATATATTTTGTGCAGTTGTCTTGTTTTTAAACAAACTACGTTGACGTGTGGGCTACATCTGTGGCTACGTTGTGCCCACTCAGCATTAATCATCGAATAACTTTTCTATTTGTAAGTTTCAGTTTTGATTTGTGTATTGGCTGATCATGTGATGATGAGGTTAAACGATCCTTTTGTCTCACATATCAGGAAAAACAGAATTATATCAGGCGGAGAATTGGCCTGGTTTTGGATTACGCAAGATTCCTGTGCTAGCTTTAAATTCTGTGAATTATTGAAAGCTGTAACGGTTCTTTACGGCTCCTCACTGAGGGTAAGGTGGCAGTTCTTGTAAATTTGAGCTGTTTTTCAGATGTTGTTGGTCAGGCTGTGATCTGGTAAGATTTTGCCGAGGCGCTCAATCCTGGAAATTTCCACTCAAATCTGAAGGGGGTGGAATAGAAAAATTTGAGACCAATAATGATACACGGTGTACTGATGCTGTTCTTTATGCAATACCTACACATTACGACAACGGATGGATTATTATTAGTAGCAGTTAATCCGTTGGCATTTATTATTTTTAGTTTGGGTCAATACATTTTAGAAAAATATGTATAGAAATTGAATAGAGTTAAATTATTTCATTACAACTAATTCTAAAACTACAATTGATATAAATTGAATTAAAAACACTTAAATAAACATATTGATGATAAACACCTCTTTCAAATCTAATATCTTCTTGTGCTTTGATGGAAACACATCCTTACAACTGTGTGTTGTACACAGTTTCCTATGGTGCTGGTGAGTGGATCAGTGTGTCCACAGTGGTCTCTTATGGTAGCCATGCACTGCACGGTTTTGTGTTACATAAACAGAAGCTGGAAAGACTCATTGCTCATGTAACCAGAGCAGCTATTTCTATCAGGAGCTTAAACGGGCGAAGGCTGTGCTGTGTGACGGTTTTAGGGTGGGAAGTGTTGGTTATTTTCTGTTAATCTGAAAATCCTATTTAAATAGTGACCAAGGTAGTTTGGGATCCTCTCTACGTTGTGTAAGCAGGTTTTAATTTGGATATTGCACTTTAACACAGTTAGTTATGAGGAGGACATCATTTCTCATTCGTTTCTCACACATCTGCTCCACATACAGCACAACAGTGTCATTGGTGTAAGGGTCTACATTTGCATCGTTGTTGTGCTGCTAATGAATTCTGCTACCTGATGGGAACACGGAATAATCCTGCTTAATAAAATAACATGTTGGTGTGATTGCATCATGCTAAAACTTTGGGAGAGTTCTGATTTAAAATAAGTGTTTTATTGGTGCTTTTGTCTGTTGTAAAACAGGAGTGATGCTCTTAGTGTGCTTTGGGGGAAAGTAAATTTTGTAGTTTTTGTCTGCATTTAACTGAAACCTGACATCCCTCATGTGTGAAATTGTATTTCTAATCCATCAAGTATTCAGCAGTCCATAATAAACCCCTCCAGCTTCCTGACTGTTCATGTGAGTCAGAATTCAACACATCTGTACTCCTAAACAGGGTGGTTATTGAATAAACAGTTTTTTCTAGTATCAGTTAGCTTTAGCAAATGTTTTGCTGCCATAAATCATTAATTAGCGTGAGATCATGTGACCTGAGTGCTCAAACAGGGAGATTAGTTTGTCTTTAGTAACAGGTTCTGGTGAATCCTCCACTCAAAATGGCTCCTTCTTTGTGTGTGTGTGTTCCTCTTTCCAGTATCTCCAGTCCCAGGAAGTGCTCCTGCTGTAGCAGTAACCCGTGTCCAGGGCCTCTGTGGTGCTCCTGATGCCCCTCTCCCACCCCTGAAGATCCCAGGTGGGCGAGGGAATGACCAGCGGGATCGCAATCTTTCAGCTAAGCTATTCTACTCCGTAAGTCTATTAACTTTTCATTCTTAGCTGTTGCTTTTTCAGCTTCTACAAATGTTTTTGTCTTCCTGTCTTTGTAGGATGCTCAGTTGTTGGTTCTTGAAGAGTCTGCTCCTGCAAACAGCAGAGTGCGTTTTTTGCTCTTTGAGCCCCGTCGCTCTGAAGGCAAGCATTGCGTCTGGAGGGCTGCGCTGAAAGGAGGCAACCTTTACGTAGAAATCGCTCCTGGAGCTTTGCCCGAGGGCAGTAAAGACAGGTCAGTACAGTTTGTCCTCTGTGGTTTGAAACAAGATGTTCAGCTATGTTGATTATTTTTTAATCTTTTCTGCTTTTTAAAGTCTGGTTAAGGAGAGCTGGGCAGAAAAAAAAATTCCTGAACTAGAATTAAGATTCATGATGAAGAAAACATTTTTTTTGCTTTGCTTTTCTAGTTTTGCACTGTTGCTGGAATTTGCAGAAGAACAGCTGCAGGCGGATCACGTGTTCATTTGCTTTCACAAGAACCGAGACGACAGAGGTGAGAGAGAGCTGTGTGTGTGTGTGTGTGTGTGTGTGTGTGTGTGTGTGTGTGTGTGTGTGTGTGTGTGTGTGTGTGTGTGTGTGTGTGTGTGTGTGTGTGTGTGTGTGTGTGTGTGTGTGTGTGTTGCTAATGAGCTGTCATCTGTTATATTGACACACCTCATACCATCTAAGCCACATTAATGTTCTAGTTGATGTGGATGGCTCTTTAAACAAGTGCAGATTAGTTCTGACTGGATTTATGAGCCAATAGTCAGTGAGACCAGGTACTGAGTGGATTTTTGCCAATATAAAATCCTCTAATTTCAAAAATGTCAAAGCAGTCTATGAGCAGTTTTTTTACATCACTGTGAAGCTGGGGTCCTTTGCGTCATCAAGGAGGAGGAGGAGATTTTGTATAGCTATAGGTCCCACCCTGCTCCCCCTAAAGGGAGCTGAAACTCACTCCTCTTACGTCTCACACACAATTAGCCATTTAGCACTAAGTAATGTTTTTGATGTGTTCCTGGTCTCACACTGCTGAATTATCTCCTCAGCCTCATTGGGTTCTGCAGGAGCTGCTTATCACTCATTATAATCAAATCTGCTGAGTTCAAGCGAGAAACATCTTAAATCGGCAGGAATCAGTCACTCACTAAGCTAGCACACCCCTGCTAACACTACAACTGCCTAAAACAATAGCCCAAAGTAGCATAAGGTGGAATGCTACACTAACCATTTAAATAATACATCTGTTTTCATTCCCCTCCCTCTTCCATAGTTGGCTTGAAGTTTACAGATGGACATCAATTCAATACAGGTTGAGTTAGCATTAAAGCTAGGTTGATTTGCTTCTGGGGGTCACCCTACAGTACATGGACTGGGTTTTTTTCTTGTTGACTAACGGCTTCCTCTTGTAGATCTTTTTGTCTTTTTTATTTTTTGTTTAGGGTTAGGGTAGGGTTAGAGATCTTTTGTAGATCTTTTTGTCAACGCTCTAGGCTCGAGTTAATGACTTGTTTTGTTGTAGAGGCCAGGGGAGGGGCTTAGGGGGAAATAGAATTGATGAAATATTACCTTCTTTATATGATGGGCCGTCCCCACTAGCATCGGCTCCACACCACCCAGATAGCCCCAGCCTGGCCCGGTTCATTCCACACATCCTTGCTTAGGAATGCAGTCAGAGACGTTGTCTCCTAGGTAATCGGCGTGATAATGAATTGCACATGCTGTAAGCCCACTAGGATGATTCTACCCACCAGTCGGAGGCGTGAATTTGAGCTGGTCTATCAGTCCAACACATTCTCACTCCCAGAGTGTCAAAAACGCTTCACTCACTCCACACATCCAACGCGTCACTCCCTGATGCCAAAAGTGTCCTTTTTCGTCACTTACATGCGAAAAGTTTTTTTTTTTCCCTTTTCTGACTGCAGATCCCAATGCAGCGTAAAACTGACTCGATGGGATGTCCGCAGCCAGGGCACCAAACAAGCTCATTGTACCTCACCCTAACCTTATCCTCTTGTTATTTAACCTTCCCCTCACCCCTATCCTAACCTTAGCAGTAGCTCAACAGATTGAGCGGGTTGTCCAGTAATCGGAAGGTTGCAGGTTCGATCCCGGCTCCGGACAGAGAATTCTGCTGTTGTGTCCTTGGGCAAGACACTTAACCCACCTTGCCTGCTGGTGCTGGTCGGAGGGACCGGTGGTGCCAGTGCTCGGCAGCCTCGCCTCTGTCAGTGCGCCCCAGGGCAGCTGTGGCTACATCGTAGCTCATCACCATCAGTGTGTGAATGTGTGTGTGAATGGATGAATGATACACTGTAGTGTAAAGCGCTTTGGAGTCCTTACTCTGAGAGGCGCTATACAAGTGCGGATCATTTATCGTTTAACCATCTTGCTAGCTAACACGTTAGTGATGTGTCGGTCGCTCTAAAAGCCAGCTCTATGAAGTGAACGGAAGGAGCCGCCTCGTCATTGGTCGAGTTTGGACCGAGGCAACGCAAGGGGGAGGTTTCAACTACCACGGTGGAGGTTAACGGTAGAGGGTATGTTCTAACGTTCCCCTTGGGTGGCAAATATGAAAATTCAGTCAGAATGCATGGGAAACAAACGCTCGATCACAGTGAGAGTAACGTTTTAGGTAGCAAGAGGGTTAAGGTTAGGATGAGGGTGAAGGTTATAAATAGTAAAATGTTCAGGTTTAGGTGCGGTTAAATGAGCTGGTTCAGTGCCGCATCAGCAGACATCCCATTGTGTCAGTTTTACGCTGCATTGGGATCTGCAGTCAGAAAAGGGAAAAACCCCTTTTCGCACATAAGTGACAAAAAAGGGCACTTTTGGCGTCAGGGGTCTGACGCGGAGGGTGGCTGACTAAGCGTTTGTTTTTGACGCGCTGGGAGTGAGAACGTGTTGATCAGTCAGCAGTGGGTGTGTAGGCCCTGGTCAGCCTGAAGCAGACCACCTTGGGAAGAGGGCTTAAAAACAGTCCGGTTGCATCCTAAAAAAAGGGTCGTGGACAGTTTCTATGCTATCCAGATCATGCCAAGCCGATGCTGGTGGGAAAGGCCCATTATGGAACAGAGTCAAACACGTTTCAGCCTTCTTAAGTTACTTTAAAATGATTTGCTTACTTAATTACTTTTAACATTTAAAATTTTCTGACTGAATGTGTTGTAGGTATTTCTGCTATAATGAACCATATAATTCTATGTGAATATCCCTGTATGGTCATTGCGAAGTCGGAAAAGTTTTCTGTACACTAACAAACATTTCTCTTTCCCCCTCAGCATCCTTACTGCGTACATTCAGTTTCCTGGGCTTTGAGATTGTTAGACCGGGTCATCCTCTCGTCCCTTCCCGACCTGACGCTTTCTTCATGGCTTACAGCATCGAGCGAGACTCCTCTGACGACGACTAAAATGACGCTGAGCAGTTACCAACCTTTTCATTTCAACTCATACCCACACATCTTTTATGATTTCTGAAAAAATAAACATTGTCTTGGTTCAGTGAGGTTGAGGTTTCCTGTCGCAAGTTGTTTCTCCTCTGCCTTTACCTAACGTGCTGTGTTTAAAGAAGATTTGCACTAGGGTCAGATGTTAATATAGCAGGAATGTAAAGCAAGTGCCCGCATGATACCTGGGCACCCCCTCCCCCCACCCCGCTAATCTTTACAGCATATTTATGACAAATTGAAATCAGCCTGGTGTAAGTAGACATTTCCATATTATCAGTTGATTCTCCTGTTCATATTTTTTTAATGTGTGCATGATTTTACTTTGTTTTGATCTAGTGCATATAAATCTGCATGTTGTAACTACTAAATAAACGTACTCACCATAGAGACGAGCGTCTGGGGATTTTATTTGACTTCTAACACAGGGTATCCACGGGTCCTTAAAAAGTCTTAAATTGACTTTTCCAAATTTAAGGCCTTGAAAATCCTTAAAAATGACAAATAATCATTGAATACAGTTTCCAAAGGTCTTAAATTACCAAAGACCCAATAAACTAGGTTATTTTATTTCTGTGACATTTTTGTGAATTTCTAGTTAGTGTTCAGCATTTTTTGTGTACGATGTTGGCGTAAGCGGAACCGTACACATTCAGTTGGTTGTGAAAGGGAGCTATTTTTAGATGAGCACATTCGCTGGTTAAGCTAGTGGGAGCTTACGCCATGGGGAAGTGCAAGTTTAATGGTAACTGGATGGCTAATCCCACGTTCGCGATGTGGTTAGGAAATTATAGCAGAAATTACATTTTTAAAAATGGCTTTAATTTGGTCAAAGTGGCCTTAAAAAAGGTCTTAAAAAGTTTTAAATTTGGCTCCCTTCAACCTGCAGTTACCCTGATAACAAATGTATAGAAATGGTTTGTTTTTAAAGGCAGGAAAATGTTAAACTGGAGCTCATCAGGTCTCGTGTGTCAATAAAATGGGCTAAAAAGCAGAAACAAGGATTTAACACCAGTTTTGATGCACAATATGCAAAATAAACAAGTATGAAAACTGTTTTGTTTATTGGCTTAGTGCTGAACGTGTCAACATTTATTTATTTTTGCTGCATGCTGAAGCTTTAGGGTAGCAGCAAGTTTTTCGTTTGCAGTTGTTTAAAACACCTGATTGGTGCGGGGAATAAAATTAGGCGCATTAAATAGATTCAGAGTGGGCTGATTATAAACTGGGCAGACCATTCCACAGCTGTGTGGCGACACCCGCGACTGTTTCAGAGTCCGTAAAGGACAGATATTTCAGACAAATGCAGTCCTCCCAGTCTAGAGCAGGCTGATCCTGGAGCAGTCTCCTCTCTGCCAGCTTCATCACCATCATGGCTCGTTTGACAGTCAGCCAGTTCTGCACAGTGCTGGTTAAGGAGCCTGTGTGGCTGAAGAGAGAAACCTGAGGGCCCCACAAAAGCACCTGAAGCATGACTATTATGTCTGTCATCTGTGGCCCGCTCTCACTCTGAAGCAGGGAGGACAGGTGGAGAAGCCCCCTTTGGTATGAAGACTTGAACAAGGCCAAATTGGAAGGCCTTAATCCCTCTGGTGGGTGAAGGCAAAATTGAATTAAATCTCTGATTTTGGATTTGGTGGAAGTGCGAGACTGAGGTGCATCAAAAGCGGAAGACTGTGGCATAAGCACAACACGAGGAGAGCCATATTTCTTCCACATCATCTGAACTCTTCCTCTTTTCCCTACAGGAACTGCTTCCTCCTTTTTGCCGCTCTGACCCTGAGGGTCATCCTCTCCCTTCTGCCTTCCCCAGCTTGGCCATACCAGAAGGATCTGCTGGGGCCTGAGCTCAGCTGCAGCAGCAATGCTGTGCAGATGGTGTAAGCCCATTAAGACCTGCAGCAACAGGACACACACCTGTTTGTCATAATGCTGACACTGGGTGATCTTCAGCGAGCAGCTCTCCTGCACAAAGTCCTCCAGCGTTGCATGTGGCAGGTCTCTCTCGACGCTCACGCCGTGTCCTCGCTGAAGGATGGTCTCCACTGTTGGAGGACAGTTCGGAGAACCAGAGACTTCCTCCGTGCTGCTTCCTCCTGTTGGTTCGCAGGAGCTGCTGTCTGACTCCGGGGGGTCATGCATCCTGCTGCTGCTGCTTTTCAGGAGAACACCTGGCTGGAAGTGAGCAACAACATTTTGCACGTTGACGTGCAACGGCTGGTTGTGAACTGATGGAGCTTCATCCGTCTGGCTGAGCACCTGCACAGAAATAAATAAACATTCACTAAAAACGACTTGCACTGCACTGACACAATAAATTGTGCGCTGCAGCTGCAACAGCCGATGACAGTTAAAAGGAAGTGTTTTTGAGACCACAATGAGTAGAACATTTGCTAAAGTCGATAATGATCTTTTTTGTTTTACGGAGAGCTGCTTGTAGTGTGAGAACTTATTACAACACAACCAATCGTGACCATGCAGACGTACCCTCAAAGCTAGAACCCTCTCTGGGAACTTTGGGTTGTGCAGGCTGTAGTAGGTTTTATCACCAACCAGCTTTGGCCTGTCTCCCTCACACAACAGGACATCCCGTGGTTGGAGTGAGCTGATATCCCTCTGCGGCACCCGGAACAGGCTCTGGTCCTCAACACTCTGCACCAGGCTTCTGAGAAAAAGAAGGTGGCGATGCTGAACCCTCTCAGACACTAGGCAAGGGTCGACAAAGTCACCAAAAATGGAGGAAAGGTGTTCATCTGGGGTTTCGAATGAAATTTGGGAGAAGGGGAGTAAGGAAACGGAATTCCCTCTGGATGTTTTTCTGTCTTCTATATCATCGTGGATGTACAAATCAGGGATCGGTGCCATCATGTAGACGGGGTTGTCAAAGTCATGAATGTGTCTTTGCAGGGGAGACAGAGGAGAGAGAGGGGAGAGCAAAGGAGCATTACAGACAGGGAGGGAGAGGGTCCGGGTCAACTTCTTCTTCGGCACTGGTGGTGGCGGAGTCACGTCGGAGAAAAATCTCTCCTGGTGTTTGGAATAATCTGAGGAATATGAGGAGAAGCTCGTGAGCTCAGAACAGCAGGAATGAAACAAGTACAGTTAGAGTCTTCAACACAAAGATGTGGCTTGCAAAAAACAAAGGCTATATAGAAAATAAAGTAGCAAACTTAAATATTTAAGATTAAAATTTTTATAAAATGCTAATAAGTTTTATGCACATTTTACATTTGATACAAAAGACAAGAATATAGTTGGTAAAATATGTTGGCAGGATTGGGAGCAACATGCAGCCATCTTTAGTTCCAGAGAAGACCTCCGTTATGGTTATGATAGAAAAATGAGCGTTCAGGACACATTTCAGCAGCTAACCTTTCTGATAAGATCTCAAAACTCTAACAAGTTTTTGTTGCACAAAGAAATGATGCAACTCGATGATCACATTTACGCACCTGAAAACCGACCACTAAAGCTTTTCAATTTATGTTAGACAATTTCAGTTTGACTTATTTTTAGACATGTTTGTAAGGCAGCAAAGAACTTTTTCATCACAGTTTCTTAACGTCTACTTGCTTTTTACAGAAAATTCATGTTTCAGAAGGTCACTTCCTCCCTCAGGTTCTCACGAATCGAAAGGTGACCTAAGAGGTGTCAGCTACACCTCCTTGTTTCACTCTGATCACTTTGAGTTGCACATGTGAGACACGATCAGCAGTTTAAGATGAGCTTTGGATCTAAAAGAGCTACTGATTTGTGCAATGACACATTCAATTAGATTTGTGCATTGGTCATGAAGCTTACGCCATCATGGTGTAGATCTAGACCTACCGTATCGTTGGTGAATGGGGCACTGGTCTGCATGGCAGTCAGTGGGTTCGGTGAAAACCTCGTTGCATCCATAGTTTTGTTGCAGGAATCCGGCGGGACTGAGAACACAGTCAGATTCCACGCTGGAATGTCTAAAGGAGGCACAAAGTTAGTTTTTCCTTAATGCAGACAGCTGTTCCTCTCTGGTTTGCAGGAGAAGGATGTATGGTCTGCCATTCATTTATCCATGAGGATGCATCCATAAAATAAAGAATAACTTATGGTATCAACGGTTTAGAAATCATAATGTTTGAATTTTGGAAATTGTATTGGATTTGGAAATAACACCCTCCCTAACAGTTGGTCACTTTTACAAAGACATCCAGATGTTTAGTCTTACCTGTGCTGTTTGGCAGGCAGTACCGGTGGCTGCTCCCCCACACTTCTACCAGAACCAGAAGCCATCAGAAGCTTCGGCACCAGTTCCTTCCCCTCCTGCACGCCTCACTCCTGTCTCTGAACACACTGAAGCCTTAACCTGACTAACTCAGCACCTCTTTTAAAGCCCACTCGTGAATCTCAGTCACTCCCACCATCTCCTCTGTGCTGTTCTGTTTTCTAACAGCGTGAATCTTCTTGAGTTTGCACCGCTGACGTCTGAGTTTGAGGTTGGTACCGGAAAGCCTGCCTGTTCTGAGACTCAAGCTGCTCTCTGAGCTAACCTCAGTGCAGCAGAAGGAGGAAGTGCAGTTTCAACAGAGCACCTTCACATTGCACTTGTCTCTGTTTTCTCTCAGGTGGACTCATGGACGTAATTTTTTGGGGGGGACAGGGGGGACATGTCCCCCCCCCCCCCCACTTTTTCCAAAGTCAAGTTTTGATCCCTGCACTTTTTACCATCCAAAAACAATATTACGCTATATTAAACTGACACTGGTTGAGCTCTGGGACCAAGCAGAAAACAACCGTTTGTGTTGAAGCCTGTTTCCCATTAGAACATACTGTAAAGACACCCCCCCCCCCCCCGTGTCCCCCCCACTTCTAAAGTGAAAATTACGTCCATGGGTGGACTTCATCTGCATTCATCCTGAGTCTCTGCAACATGAAGCCCTCACCTTTGGCTGATTCAGTCAGACCATTCACACATGCAAAAGCTTCTGGAGGGAAACATAAAACATTTGACTGAATAAAACCTAAGTGTAACTGATTACTTTTTGAACAATGCCGGAATTAATAAAACAGTTTGCAGTTTTTTTTCTCCTAGAAAATAATATTTAAAGCTATAACAATCATTTTTATTTTAAAGCCACTTCTAAATACTTCTGGTTTGTTTTTCGTTAATCTAATATGTTAGATTGCATTAAAAACTCCCCTTTAAAGTAACCCAGAGCAGTTTCCTGCTCCTCTGCCCTACTGGTTAAAAGTGGAATCACAGCTGTAAATACCCTGCTGCAGCCTTCTGTAGCTAGCACTAACAACGAGCTAACACTAACATGAGCCAACTAATATTAAAATAAACCATGAAGTAAAAAGATTCACTCAGTTGGGAAAAAAAATTATTACTTAGAAGTCCAGTAGCAACAAAGCCAGGTCACCATCAGCTTTTCTCGTAATCTTTTCTGCCCCCGTATTGTTTTAAGGATCATCTCCCTTGCATCCACGTTGAAGGTTTCCAGTTCGTCGATGCGGTTTTGAGCTTCCACCATGTGTTCCCTCTGCTCTCGTATTTCTGCGCAGCTAGCTTGTAGCTTGCTGTTTACGTTTTCCTTGAATCTGTTAAATTGGTCCTTAATGCTTGAGTCCAGAGTCGTAATGTCTCTCTTAATTCTTCTTTAAGCTCCCGTATTTCTTAGAAGATATTCGTCAGGTGTTTGAGTATATCTGGGTTGTTTTCCTGCATCGATTCTTCCTCGTCCAACTTTTTTTTTTACCATGTCCTGTCTGGCTGTGAAGCAAACAGAATTGATGTCTGAATGCTGGTAACAAGACTTACAGATTTACTCTCAAGTGGAGCATCAAAGTGTCTGCTTTTAATGTCACACCTGATACTTAAAACTTTATTGTTGTTGTTTTTTTGAATGCTTTGCAATTCCGACAAGACACGGAGTCAGAGGTGAAAGAGAAAGGAAAAGACAAATGGTGGGGAGATAGGGGGGAAGGGGGTTGTCCAACATTTTCTCTAGGCTTTCCTCCTTTTCTTGTCTCTTTTCTGAGAGTTTGGTGGCTCTTTGTCCTCTTCGAATTGTCCCCGCTCTTGCGATTTTCTTCATTTATACTTGTATTCTTGGTTTGCGAGTTGTGGGGGGTTATTTTATCCTTGGACTAATGGGAGCTCCTGCCTATGCTACCATTGCTCTCGAGCGCTCCACCGGAAGTCTTCATATTTAAGATGCTTAATTTACACTTAGAAGTGTTCTCATCCCAGTGTTGTCCACAAAGGAATCGACTCTTCAGTATCCAGAACTTTGATGAACTAACAGAAAATGCATTAGCATTGTTTTACAGTTTACCACGGTTGGTTCTCGGGGTTAAGGCGCTGCACATCAGCGCTGGTATCAGTTGGTGTGATTCTTCAGTAAAATTCTCCTGGGAAATTTCCTCTGAATTCTCACTTCCATCTGAGAACAGAAACAGAGGTGAAGAAGCTGAGAATCACAGCGAGTCACCTGCTTTACACAACGTGTGTCACACTGTGTTGTTCCTCATACTAACGGCCTTCATCACTCACACTGACACCATCTAAATACACACATCTGTCTGTTAACCCTTTGATGCATGAATTATGAAATCTTCAACCATGATTTTTTAGAAATTTTTTTATTCATCTTTAGGTGTGACTGAAACAAATTTCAACAAACATTTTTTGTAACATTTTGTTAATTTACAAATAATTTATTACATGTCCACCTCAGTGGAAAGCGTGCATTCTGAACATGAAATGTGTTGGCTTGAGTCACTGAAGTCCAAATGGAGGGGATCAAATGCAATAAAGTCTTCAACAGCTGTGCTTAATAGCAAAAATAAATAACAATTTTGAGTACCTGTCCACTGTAGTGGCCATTATGCATCAAAGGGTTAACTCCACAGACTGAAGCCCAACGTAAGGTTTGTTAGTGCTGAGAAGAATCAGCAGCAGCTATAATGCATTCTGTCGTGAGTAGCTGAGTAGTGATGCAGTTTGTTACTAAGGGATGAGTCAAATTACCAAAAAAGAACAATTTTGAATTAACAGACATTTTAAACTAGATCGTGGGTAAATATTAGGTATTTTTCAGTAAACAGGTTCAAGATTTTGATTATGCTCATGTACAGCCCTAAAACCACCAGAAAAGGAGGTCATGTGATCTCTAAAAAGACATTCAAATGTCATGTACACACAGATTGCTAAAATAACAGCGGTTGTGTCATGAACTCCTCCTCCTGACCTCCTCCGCGGGCCTGGAGGGTGCTGCACTCCATCTCCCAGCATCCCCGTCACCGACGCAACACAGTGACGTCATCCCGCTGAACCTATTTAAGAACCTCTCACAGCTGAGCCGGCACTCAGTCATCATCTAACGATAGACGCCAACTCATTCCAAGAACTAAAACACTAAACTTTACGAACTCTGAAAACCATACGGGAAGAGATCTTCCCACGCTGCCACAGAACAGTCACCATCCAACACCAGTCTCTCCGCGCCTGGGTCTCATAGCCACACTCCAGCTCAGCCCACTGAACCTGACAGGTTGAACCCGTTAGTTCAGTTATTGTATAGCTTCTTTGATGTAAGCAACTCTAAAAGGAAGAGAAGAGTTCAGATAGGGTCAGAAAGAGATTTATTTTATTTCTGAGATCATAATACAAATATTCTAACAAGATGTAGCAAAATGAGCAGCACCATGTGCGTGCTGGATTTAAGTCATTATCATTTTTTTGCATCATATCACCTCTAAAAAGCTTTTATGAATCCTAAACTTGCAAAAGTCACCAAATAGCGGTTTGATAATCTCAGTTGTTCTTGATTAATCTGTCATGAAACTTTATTACATTCAGAAATAAAGTAATAAAAGCTTAGTGACCTGACAACATGCATACATCATTACAGCACGAAGATGTAATTGTTTGTTATGAAGAGATAGTTTTAGATGTTCATGTATTCGTGCTGACACGTGCTGAGTTAGGGTTGTGTTTAGGAAGCTCCCGGTGTGTGTGCTCATAATTACCCTCATTATGTTTCTCTAATGCATTCACCCAGCACGCTGTGAACAGGTCCAAGAGGCTGAATTTGATTAGTGCTGCAACCCTTAAACCGCGGGTGAGAATAAAGCACATGAACAACGCAGAGCGGGATTATACATTCAGATTGGCCCGTTCTTGTGTTCGACCGCTCTGCCTCGGCTGAGGGCCGAGCACTTTGCGTCATGATTTCCAGTGTGTGGGTGAGTTTCAGACACGAGGATGGATCAGGGCCTCTTCACCAAACCTCTTCATGTTGGACCCACCTCTCCAGCTGTAGACTGTAAACATGTCACTAAACAGAATCAGGGTCTCAGAAAGAATGTCTTCAAAGCCTGAAATGTATGCCTTCTCCAACCTTCATCTTCATTTAAACACAAGTTAAACAAAGTTCATGATCTTCACCCATAACTTACCACAATCAACCTGCCACCCTAGTATTGGCTCCCTGGATGGTACAAAACTACAGCTTGTCAGTTCCTATAAGTATTTGGGTATCTGGCTTGGCACTTTCATTTGACCTTCACATTAATTCATTACTTTCTAAAGTCAAGCCAAGAATCAGGTTTCTATCAAGCAACAGGTCATCCTTTACTCATTCTGCAAAGCAAACCTTGGTCAAAATGACAATTCTTCCCATCATAGATTACGGTGACATCATTTATAGGACTGCTTCCAAAAAACGTCTTCATAAACGTGATGTCATTAATCTCTCAGCTATCCATTTTGTCTGTGGTGCCCCTTTCTCTACTCACCATTGTGATCTGGACTCACTCGTTAACTGGCCATCGCTCCATTCCTGCAGGTTGTGACGTTGGTATCAGTTCAGATACAAAACAATCATCGGTAGAACCCCGCCATTACTCGTCACTTCCAAAAACCAGCCCAATTTATGTTCCAGTAACTTAATCTCTACGGTTATTCCCAAAGCTCGCACCTTCTTTGGCCGCTCCTCATTCCAGTTTGCTGCTTCCAACGACTGGAATGAGCTGCAAAAATCACTGAAGCTCACTACCTACATTCCTTTATCCACCTTCAATAATTCATTGCAATCAATGGTTTCTGATCAATGTGCTTCTGATTACTTAAAGACTGGTTTTAGTCTGTTTTGATTGCTTGTACATATTATATATGAGAACAGTCCGTTGTCTTTACGTCTAACTGTTTTATCTTATTTTTGTCTTGTAATTTTTTTTTATCTATCCTGTTTTTCTTTCGTGTAAAGCTAACTATGTGTCTGTTGCTGCTGCCTCTTGGCCAGATTGTCCTTGTAAATGAGAATGAGTTCTCAGTCGACTCATCTGGATAAATAAAGATTAAATAAAATAAATACATAAAAGCCTGAAATATAATCACTGCATGTAAAACTCCACAGTAACTCACACAGTCTAGTAGGAACTTGATATAAATACAATTATTACAGCGTCCACAGCTTATTTACACTGATGAACATCAGAATATTAAACTCTTGTATACAATTTTAAGTCAACTAAAGCAGAATTAAAGATGTGGTTCCCTTGTTTAATCAATACATTTTCATGGTCTCCAAAAGGAATGAGTGCCTT